GTGGCTGGGCCTTCTCCGTCGCCTCGACGTGATGCTGATTGCCCTTCATAAACATCAGCCTCTCAAAGTTGCCATCTGACAGGGTGGCTCTCTTGGCCCTCAAGATATCTTTGCACGTACTAACACGCAGTCAGCTAAGCGTGCCTGACTGGCTGTTGGAGACGCATCGCGGCGTCACACGCTTGCAACAGACAGGAACAAACGTGTATAAATTTTGTTAGCGGACTTAAAGTTAGCGGAACTAAATTTAGCGGAAGCTAATTGGTCCGCTAATGGTTTCCAAAGTTTGCGAAAACGCTAATCCGCTAACGAGAAAGTTAACTTCGCTAACTAGCGGTTAGCGGAACCGTGCCCACCACTGATAAGGGATTCATTCGTCCTAACTTGGAGTACTGCTCTCATATCTGGGGTGGCACTTCATCTGTCCAACTGTTAGAAAGGGTGGAATCAAAGACATTTTGCCTTATTAACACTCCTTTAGTTGATAATCTCTTCCCTTTCTCTTCGCCGCAGTGTTGCAGTGTACCGCCGGCAAGGCAGTGGACTTATAATATTTGTCTTGCTCACAGTGCCCACCAGTTCTTTGTGGATGTCTGTCACACTAGAATAACTCGTTATAGTATAGTACATCCTTCTTTCCTCACACAGCCAAACTGTGGAATGCTCTGCCTTTTTATGTGTTTCCATCCTCTTACAATGTTTCATTTCAAAAAGCTGGTTTTCCAGCATCTTCATAGTGTAGATTAACATTCTTTTCTCTCCTAATTTTTTTGCTTCTTTCTACTCTTATTTTTTGCTCACAGGCCCCATTGTGGGTCAATGACCTGTGCCTGGGATGGCTATTCCCCATAAAAAAAAAAAAGTTCCTATAGTGCATTTTTTCAAGGCTAAGAAAAGATGCCCCGCCCCCTCCTCAAGAGTTACAGCTGATTGGCGGTTGCAAGTCTGTCCGATTTCGTCCGGAAGGAATGATGCATTTCCAAGTTAGTTTATTTATAATCGTTGGGATGACCATTTCTGACACTAAAGATATTTAGCTAAATTATATAAAGATACATACATACATTCATTATTTTAAACATAAGTATGTAGGAAGTTTATCAGAAGTATTATACAGTGGTCCCTCGATTAACGAGCGCCTTGGTTAACGAGATTTCGGTTAACGATTTACCTTCCATAAGATTCCTAACTTCGGTTAACGAGCAATCCCTCGATTAATGAGTTTTTTACGAGCCGACTTCAACATGTTTTCACTTGCATTTGGCGGTCCACCAGCTGTAGTATTAGTCCGCCAATACAGTAATTGGTTTTAGGGCTTAAATTCCTTACTATTTTAGTAAATATCAAGAAGTTTATACTATTCAATAATTTTAAAAGTTTAATATTAACTTTTTTTAGTCATTTTAACAATTATTGAACATAATTGAAGGTAAAGAAGTTAGTTTCTGGCGTGCCATCCAGCCTGTTAACACACCAGACAGGCGTTAGTCTCTCTGTTTTCAGTGGAGGTAACATCTTGCTTGAGACTCTCTTCAACTAAACGCTTTTTTTGTGTTTCCAAGCAAATTATTGGTCATTTTGAAATATATTTTACATGTTGACAATATATAATGCAGAGCAGTGTTGATTTAAAGAAAATAATCTTGAAATACACCAAAAGAACTAAAATTTTATGGGTGAAATGGCGCCATGGGGTGACTTCTCTTCCACCCCAATGCCTTCTCTTCTTCCTTCTCCTCCACCCCCATTCTAATTCCCATCATCATCATCATCATCCAGGAGCCTTCTACATACACACCTCAAAGTAAGTGTACTTTTCTACCTTTTTTGTTGAGTTTAGGCAATTTTCGGTGAGCTGGAACCAATTACCCAAAAACCCATTGAAACAATGGTTTCGGTTAACGAGTTTTTTGGTTTACGAGTTTTTCGGTTAACGAGCAACCTGCTGGAACGGATTGTGCTCGTTAACCGAGGGACCACTGTACATGAATTAACTGTTAAACTTTGGTAGCAAATTCATGCTTTCGGAGGATGCATTTAATATGACTGCGAACAACATCATATTTCCCTGGTTGTAGTAAAATTAACGTAAAAAAAATTTATGTTTCAATTAATGTTATTTAATGTAAAAAATGGAACAATAGAAGTACCTAACCACTAATAGTAAAGAAAAAAAGCGAGACGGATTGCGCAGTGCCAGCGAGTGTAAGTGCGTACACGTGAATACATATCGTCATTTCTCTTCATGAAAATATGAAAGCAACACTTATTACTCTTCATATATATTTTAAATAACACTTAAGAATGTAAAACAAAAATTCTACTCACCAATGGTGGTAAAGTCGGAAACATAAGGACAGCCAATGATGATGTGTGAGTTTTTACTCAGATGACGAAGTCATCATGTTCAACTCTGGCTGAATCTGTAGGTTTAACTCTGGCTGAAGCTGTAGATTTAACTCTGGCTGAAGCTGTAGGTTTAACTCTGGCTGAATCTGTAGGTTTAGTTCTGGCTGAAGCTGTAGGTTCAACTCTGGCTGTAGCTTTCCATAAAGATGCCATAACTGTTGCTGAACCTGAAGCTGTTATTGAACCTGTAGTTGTTGCTGAAGTTGATGGTGTAGCTGTACCTGAAGTTGATGGTGTAGCTGTACCTGAAGTTGATGGTGTAGCTGTACCTGAAGTTGATGGTGTAGCTGTACCTGAAGTTGATGGTGTAGCTGTACCTGAAGTTGATGGTGTAGCTGTACCTGAAGTTGATGGTGTAGCTGTACCTGAAGTTGATGGTGTAGCTGTACCTGAAGTTGATGGTGTAGCTGTACCTGAAGTTGATGGTGTAGCTGTACCTGAAGTTGATGGTGTAGCTGTACCTGAAGTTGATGGTGTTGCTGAACCTGAAGTTGATGGTGTAGCTGTACCTGAAGTTGATGGTGTGTACCTGAAGTTGATGGTGTAGCTGTACCTGAAGTTGATGGTGTAGCTGTACCTGAAGTTGATGGTGTAGCTGTACCTGAAGTTGAAGGTGTAGCTGTACCTGAAGTTGGTGTAGCCTGAAGTTGATGGTGTAGCTACCTGAAGTTGATGGTGTAGCTACCTGAAGTTGATGGTGTAGCTGTACCTGAAGTTGATGGTGTAGCTGTACCTGAAGTTGATGGTGTAGCTGTACCTAGCTGTACCTGAAGTTGGTGGTGTAGCTGTACCTGAAGTTGATGGTGTAGCTGTACCTGAAGTTGATGGTGTAGCTGTACCTGAAGTTGATGGTGTAGCTGTACCTGAAGTTGATGGTGTAGCTGTACCTGAAGTTGATGGTGTAGCTGTACCTGAAGTTGATGGTGTAGCTGTACCTGAAGTTGATGGTGTAGCTGTACCTGAAGTTGATGGTGTAGCTGTAGCTGATGTTGATGGTATAGCTGTAGCTGATGCTGATGGTATAGCTGTAGCTGAAGTTGATGGTTTAGGCCTACGAATAATAAAACTGTCTAAAGAACTTTGCACAGCTGCTTTCTTTTTCTCATTAAACATCTTTATGTAAGGGTCACATGCTTTTTTCAAGTCCCTGTTAATTTTAATGCTTGTTCTGTTAATGGATCCACTTCATAAAATATATTAATTGCTTGCTCCATATAATATCCACAGACCTCTTACCTTTTTTGTATCATTTTAACACATCTAGTTTCTCAGCTAAGCTTATACACTCTCTTTTAGCTTTTGAACCAGCACTACCATCACTTGTTCTCTTACTCATGTTGAATAGGGACACAAAAATGCCATAAGAAACCTGAGAAAGTTTTTCTCCTGTTCCTGTTCAGTTGTGTGAAAACAAAAGGCCCGCCAAGCTGCAACTGTTTATACTAGCGATGCTGGCATCACCACTTACAAGCTCAGCAGCCTCCGTGTGCACTCCGTGTGTAAAAGTGTTTTTTTTTTTTTTATAATACATATTGGGATTTAGTTATTATTTATATGAAAATGTAATTTTATTTCATTTTTTGTTCTACTTTTGTCGTAAATGTGAATAAAATAATGGTGTAAATTGAATTGGGTCCAAAATTAACCAGGGTTTTAAATAAGAATTGTTGTTAGTAGAACCGTCGTTATTGGAGGCTTTCCTGTATAGGTTTACCAATTGTATCACCAAGTGTCTTTTTTACACAGTTATTGATAAAACTAATACAGTAGGGTCGGGATATATCGCGACTATATAAAGATTTTTTATATCACGGCTACCAAAATAATCGACATTTTCCTATGTACTGTATAGCGAAATAGAAAAAAATTTTATGAGGGAAATCGGGCAGGAAATATTTCAAATGTACTGCCATGGCAAACAAATGCTTTATTTGCTCACCAGAGGTGCCACTGTGGTTGTCCGCTCAGTCTTGTTGAGTGAGTGACGAGAAAGCAGCAGACTGCTGCAGATTACGACTTCTAAGGCGAGTGTAAATGGGTTGCTAGTGACGTGAAAAGTGAAGTGAAGAAAATGGAAAGCTTAATGGAAAAGATTTAATACTGTAACTAATATTTTTGGAGTTCGTTTATGTAGGTGTGGGATTGTCAAGTGAGGGTGGCAGTGTGGTGTCTACTGCCGAGTCTGGTGTTCTCAAGATGGTGCATCAGCTGCCAAGTCTGGTGTTCCTTGATATTGATATTGAAATAGCCTGTTGTTCTTGAGTCTAGTGTTCATTGGTGCTTTAGTTAGTAAGAAAATTAACTTGTTAAGTCAAGTTTAGTCACTTTTTTGGGCCTCCAGAACCAAACCCTATTTTCCCCATTCATTAGATGTAATTATATAACGCGATTTAGTATATAGCGAACATCCTTGGACCCTACTTCACGATATATCCCGACCCTAATGTACTTTAGTAAGCAATGTGTTTTTCCAATATGACAATGATGTGTCACTAAGCATAGTAGTCCTTGACAATTTGCCAAGCAAATTGGTGAAGACTTTTGTTAGAGTGTTATGGATAAAAGTTCACTAACATGTTACTCCCACACAGATTTGCCAAGCGGATCGTTGAGTGCCTTTTCAACACAGTTTCGGGCAAAACTTTAGCAGTATTTGGTTTTGCTTTCAAGAAAAACACTGGTGACACAAGGGAGAGTCCAGCCATCTATGTATGTTCTCATCTGTTAGAAGAAGGTGCTCAGCTCAATATATATGACCCCAAGGTATTTTACCTTAGTTTCTATATGTCTGTACAATATTTTTTATTATCTTTAATCCCCCTTACTTTTGTATTGGTTAGATCAAGTGATTGGTAACTTCAATGAAGGGAAGAAATAATTGTGGTATATACAAGACTTATATAGAATGTGATCTGAAAAAATGGCAATTAGTATAAATATCCACACATACTTCCTCATAGAATACATATTCACAGTACTACACATCAATTCACTGAGCATTTTAACTTTACCAAAATTAGTTAGCTTCAGTGTGTCTTGAGAGTAGTGTATTTTGGTTTGTTTTCTGTAGGAAGGTTAGGTAGTGCAAAAATGTAGTTGACTTGATGTGGCAAACAGGTTCATAAATTCTTCCATTCCAGTTTGATGCCTTCCAAGTGGCAGCTGGGGGGCTGATATTATTCTTCCCTATCCCTCTGTCACAATTCTCTCTTTTTAAATACTGTACACAAATAGAGATGGTCTTTCTATAAGTTTTTAATGGTTAATGCCTAGTGCATGACTTGATCTTGAGGGCACATTTAAAGGCCTAAGTTGCCAAAGTGCATTACTGTACTGTATTACATTATAACATCAACATCCCCCAAAAAGTGTTGATTGGGAATAAAGGTTCCATTCCCTTAAGTAAGAGGTCTAGAATGGCAGCCATATCTACCCATCTGGTGCAGTATCATGCCAGCTGTAGTTACCTTCTTTTGGATTTAGTTCCAAGGTGCATGCTTCAGAGAGCTGATGTATCTCTTCAAGCTATGTCTACTAATCTTAAATAACTTGCCAGTTATGATGAAGCTTGAAAGGATAATTAATAGAAATTACAACAGTTGTAGGTGTTATTGCTGAGGAAAGACTGACATTTTGTCTTGTTGCATCATTTTGTAATTTTTTTTTTAGCCAACTTTTCCAAGACTAAGTTATTATATCAGTAACTGGATTAGCCTAAGGACTTGGGCTTGTGATTAAACTTTCACAGCTCAGGCAGTACATCAACCCCCATTACACTGTATATATATATTTTTTTTTTTTCATTTAGCAAGGCTTAGGACTTGCCATATAGAGATTGCATGTAATTGGTTTATGATTTCAGGAAAGTTTTATATTGTATGTTGGTCTTGTCACTGGAAGACCCAACATAGGGCTTCAGCAGGTATTCATATGGTAACTTTATTTCTCTAGCCAGTTGATTTTTGATGCCTACCTTGTATGGTATTTGTGGTTATATCAAAGTAAACAACCCTCAAGGGGATCTGCAGACAATCCTGAGCAAATTTGATCTAATTACATTATTGAATACAATTTTGGTTGGTGTGGCCTTTGAGATCCTCCTATCAGTGCCACTAACTGAGGTGGTAAGGTAACCCTCCAAATATGTATCTCCTCTGATATGGTTGTTGCTCCAGGCCACCACGTTCACACTAAGAGGTTAGCTTGTTTATCCTTCTGCTCAGCATTGTGGTGCCTGTCTGCTGTGTTAATATTATTGCTTTTCAGATTGTCATGCTGGGATTGATACTTACACACTTCTTGAAGTCAGAGCCATGTTGTATAAGTCAGAGGTCCTGCTAAGATGACTTTATTCCCTTAATAAGTGATAAGGGGCCTCTATGTATGTAGCCATACAAAGGTTTCAGGAAATTTGATGTGTGATCTGTATGTGTGTGTAATGGTTCATGTTTAAAGATACAACAGCAGTTTTTCTACTTTTCAACACTCATACAAATATTTCATCCATCATTCTGTTGATACTACCATAGCTTCTTACTGTGCTGCCAATTTATATAATTTTTTTAGTGTTTGTTGACTCAGTCTTATACCACACTCCTATATATACCCCACACCTATATAACATTTATGTAACTCAACGTTATCTACTTTGAAAACTTGATGTGTGAATATGTTCCCTTTGGGGGAATTCAGTTTAGTGAAATAAGTGTGTGTGAGAATTGATGAAGATTCCTGAAATACACTAGCAGATACTATGTGAGGCAACCCCCCAAGCTGAAAGTGTTTCCAGTGGGGACAAAGTGTTCAAGGAAAAAGATAGATTATATATATGATGAGTATGAAAGTACTGTGCACAGTTAACATTCTCTTTATTGTTTAGTTCAAATATTTTGAATTTGTGCCATAAACTAACTTCATTATGGTTATTATTCATTTTCCTTCAGGTGGAATGTAAACAAATTGAGCTTGATCTGACAAGTGCAGCTGTAACAGATAATCCAGATCGTGTTCGAAAGCTGATCGACATTTACACGGACCCTTATGATGCAGTTAAAGATGCTCATGCAATTGTTGTGTTGACTGAGTGGGATGAATTTACGGTGAGTTATTACTTTGATGTCGTGCCCTGGATTGTCTCTTATAATAGTAGTAGTAACAATAATAATAATAATAATAATAATAATAATAATAATAATAATAATAATAATAATACAGTATTACCCCGCTTTACACGGTTTCACTTTCCGCGATTTCTCATTTACGCGGTACCTTGCCAGAACCGGACTTTCACTTTCCGCGGTGCATCTACTCATATACGCGGTGAAGTATAATTTTTTTTTATTTTTTTTTTATTTAGCTCATAAAATTCATACAAATTACCCGGCCAGAATATAATTTACATTGCTGGAATTCTTACAATATGATGATCATTTTGAATATAAACATCATGGATTTTGCATTAGACATACAAATTTTAGATCTAATGTAATAATTTGGTTTACACAAAGCAAATAATTTATCTTTTGTGGAAAATATATGAAGTTTACATTCAAAATATTCCCTGACCTGCAAGGAATCCAGAAGTGTCAATTATTTTATCCTAACTTTAGTCTGAGGTATTATTTATTACTAAAAGTTAAAATCTAGTTTTTTCACCCAACATTTCTCTGGTAGGGAGGAAGGTGGGGGGTGGGGGGGGAGGGTTGGGACCGACCGACCCAGCTGGCGTGAGTGTGAGGGAGGGGGGAGGCAAGGTGGGGTACTTTGATTGACAGATAGTGTCGTGAAGAATATTTTTTTTTTTTATTAACTGAAGATATTTGTTTTAGCTCATAAAATTCATACAAATTACTCGACCAGAATATAATTTACATTGCTGGAATTCTTACAATATGATGATCATTTTGAATATAAACATCATGGATTTTGCATTAGACATACAAATTTTAGATCTAAAGTAATAATTTGGTTTACACAAAGCAAATATTTTATCTTTTGTGCAAAATATATGAAGTTTACATTCAAAATATTCCCTGACCTGCAAGGAATCCAGAAATGTCAATTATATTATCCTAACTTTAGTCTGAGGTATTATTTATTACTAAACGTTAAAATCTAGTGTTTTCACCCAATCGTTTCTCAGAGAGGTAGGAGCTAGTGAGCTGGGAAGAGGGGGGGGGGATTTGAGTCCATTATTTGAATGGACATAAACCTGGCAACTGTATTTCTCTTAAATATTAATTGTGTGAGCATACCATCATAAAATTTAGATGTTATTTTTACTACAACATAGGTATTGTGTCGGAAAATGTGGAGTTTGGGGGTCGGGCCAGTCTCTATTGGAATTAATCCCACATGTTCTGTTGTTCACTTTACGCGGTTTTCACTTTCCGCGGTACCCTGTGGGTTCAAATGACCGCGTAAAGCGGGGTACTACTGTATTAATAATAATAATAAAAATACTCTAATAATACAGGTAATAATAATAATATAATTAATAAATGGATTATTGAGAGAAAATAGCAGTTAAAGGATGAAAATGCATAATTAATATGTAGATGACATTGTAAATTATGTATACTGAAGTGACTTTGGGGAGTAGGACATTTAACAAATGTTGTCATAACAAAAAGGAGGAAACATGAGGTGAACATACAAGTTAGTGAAACTACAGCAGGGTGGTTGATCTTTTAGGTCTGGTGCAGCTGCGGTATCAGACGTGGACAGGATCTGTTGCAAGATGGCTGGTGGCAAAGATGATGTAACAGCTCTGTCCCTAAACTGGTAGCTGGAGATTTAATGAATATCAGAGGGAGCAGAAAGGGCCAGTGAACCAAGTACCTCTTGATAGGTGGTTTAAAGTAGCACTGAATCTCGTCCAGGGATCCATTGTTTCGTTTTAGAGTAGACACCATGTTGTGATGAGAATTAACTTTGTTCGGTTGAGTCCCCATTTCACACGTGTGAATTACTGGCTGCGACTAATGTTTACCACTAGGTACTTACACATCAGATGTATTCACTGTCCCAAAGTGTTTTCTATTTTCTAAATAGATAATCAATCCTTGCATTTGTTTCTTGGTGGAGATGGGAAGTAGAGAGGAGAGAGGTGCAGCTGCTGGAGTAGGAGATGTTCTTATTCCATGGTAGCAGCACTTCCTTTCTCATAAACCACTCTACACCACACAACCCAGCACCACTCAACAGTGTGTTCACCAATGTAAACCATCTGACACTACCTGTATACTCTCCAGTCATGTGAACAAATTTACAAGTTTGCTTGTTGAAATTTATCAAAATTTATCATCTCTCCTCCAGGGCTACGACTACAAAAAGATGCTGTCGGTTATGAAGAAACCAGCATTCGTGTTTGATGGGCGTAAGATCCTAGACCACCAAGCCCTCATCAAGATAGGCTTCCACACAGAAACTATCGGCAAGAGATTTTCTCGGAACACTCTGCTGAGATCCTCTGGTGCGGATATATAGATGGCATGCAAGTGTGTTTGTTACCAGGACATGTGTGATTGATTTAGCTTTTTGTTTAGTTATTATGTTAGATTTTATTGGAATATTCGTTTCTTACTTGCAACTCTTTTGTTGGCAGTTGTTGTAGTTTCTAGCTATGGTATAATTGTCCCCAAAATAATGATTCATTCAGTTGAAACTTAAAAATTTCTGAATATCTCTCCTAATTACTAGTAATATTGTCATGATGTATTTATTAATATGCACATAAGAATTTGCATGCTCCTTCACAGTTATTCTGTTTTTACGTAACTAATTTTAACCTCATTCCACTGTCCTGTGTACATGTGGGAAAGGTGCAATAGAATTTACTGTACTACTGTATGTATAATTATTATATTGTCACTATTTATTCAATCCTAAGAATTTACCTATTGGTATACAAGTTTACCTGTTTGCTTAAACAGTGAAAACTTATTCACTCTTTATTAAATAACTGTATATTGCATGAAATTTTTGTATTCATTTGCATTGATTTTGTTAAATATGGCTTTTGTTTTATAACTTAAATTTTACTTGCGTAATGTAAAAGAGCCTTTGATGGCTGTATAGTCACCAGGAGATACAAAGAGTGAGGTTAATGTGCAGTTCACAGATTGCTTCATTTTCTTTGATGGGTGTCCATATTATTTAGCCATCCAAATTTATTTTGACTGAATTTTTATTTAGTAACACAAGTGAATCTGATGACTCCACTTAGAATGCACAGAGAATTGATATCAAGTGTTTGGAATCAACATTTTTTTTTATTTATTTTTTTATTTATTTATTGGGCACTCCCCTACATCCTTGTGTAAGGTGAAGCACAGAAGCGTTTACAGCGCCCAACAGGGAAGCATGCTAAGTTCATGTTTGCCTTTATGTCCCATGAGTTAAGGGCGTAGAAGCCTGAAGAGTCAGTGATTTATGTCATCAAGTTATTGGAAGCTCCAACAACTCCCTGAATATGAATTTGCAACTTTTGACTTACAACAGGTACCTACTTTACTGCTAGGTGAACAGGGACTAATGGGGGCTAGGAAGTAAATCCAAACAACTTCCACCGGCCCGGGAATCGAACCCGTGACATCTCGCTTGCGAGGCAAGAACGGTACCGCTTCTACCACCGGTCCCCCGGAATCAACAATGATACTGAAGATTCACTTTGTATACTGATTATTATTTAAGTTGAGGTTGTGAGTGAGTGTGTTTGTGCATACAGTATTTTACGTGATATCTTAGCCCTTTTGCTTTCTGTGCTTTCCTTGTTAGTTTATTTAATCAATTTTGGGGGTTTCTGTGCCTCTTGATCCACTTCATACAAAATTGGGAGGGGGTAAATATGATGGAAAATTAATGCCATATCAGACACACTCTTGAGTGTGTAAGATAAGGCATTTCTTCTTTGTCACTTATTTTTTATAAGAATGTGTATTAGATATTTTTTTTTTACTATATTGCACCAAAACTATATTCTAGGTGCTGCAGTGTTGAAAAAGAAAATAATTACAGTAATCCCCCTTCTTATGGAAGGGATGCATCCTTGAAAAGTTGACCATAACATTAAAATCCATAAAGTGAACCCCCATTTCCCCATTGACTTCCATTATATAGTTGAGATGCATTCCTAAAGAAATTTTTGGGGCAAAAAGAAGTAATGCAAGCACACTTATGAATGAAAATAAACATTTTGTTTAAATATTCATTGGGTATTTTATGATACATATGATAAAAATACAGTACACAAAACCACTTGAATTTAACTTGCCACAAATTATGTTGAGTGTTGCTTGTGGTGAGTTGGTGCAATGGGTATTATTGGGAGTTGTAGCAAGCCCTACCATTTTTGCAATCTGGCTTAAGTTTTTCTACCACATCAATCTCCAAAAACCATTTTAGTTTTATATCCAACCTAATTCCTTTACAGGCTATTTTAGCACCATAGCTTTCACTTGCACTTGGTGGTTTCTCTCCACTCATCTTGAATAAGGGTAATACTGTACAATGAACAGTCTAGAATAGGATATATATTAAGTATTAAATCTAAGAGCTGGGTTCGAGAGATTAAGCATACACGCAGGGAGATATAAGTATATCCACCCTTGGTGGTAGTAAACACCAAGAATTCCGTACTAAGTAAAATATAATGTCAGTACAGTGTAAAAAAAAAATTTCTGTATAGCAATTTTTGTTACAATTTTTTAATACTGTATTGTATCTACTACATTTCCATAAAGTCGAATTTACGGGCCATATCCCAAATTTAGTGGTCATAATTTCCAATTTCCATATGGGCGAATTTCCGCAACCTGACTTTCTATAACGTGGGGGATACCTGTATTTTTTTAGATATAAAATTTTCAGGGCAGAGTTTTTAAAGGCTTCTGGGGAGTGACATAATCGTACATACCCTTTTTTTTTATTTTTTATTCATGAGTAATTAATAGGAGGATGAGTAACAAAAAATTTAGCAGTTGGCAGCATGATTTCCATCTGCAGTTCTGCAGTACAAGATAAACCATCTGTTTTCCCCAGTTACTTGTAAAAAAATAATTTAAGGTGTACATTAATGGTGTCTGCTACTGAAAAATGCCTCATCAAACGGTATTAATTTTCATCTAGTTCAAACATAACAAATATTTGGTCCTACAAGACTAAAGGAACATTGATGGTAGAGTGGTAGTGCTCTTGCTTCTTATTACTGTATTGTGGGTTCAATCCTGGATTGGATGTGAGAAGGGTGTTACCTAGGTACTCGAGTTCCATTTTCACTAACACTGCACCTTGCTAGACAAAAGGCAAAGTCACCAGGAAGTTTGGGGCAATTAAACAAAAGTACTGTACCAGCTTCTTTCTCCTATCCAAGTGGCATATTGATAATTAATATCAAAAGAGGAAGTTAAAGAAAATTAAATTACAGTATTACCTTTATACCCCTGCACCCTTGTGTGGGGAGCAACATCAGACCTAAATCAGACTCCTACTTAAGAGTAAATAGGAAACATGAACAGTGTATCTCTAACACTTAATGGTTGTCACTTCCAAAGCTTTGGGCATTGTATGGCATGGTGATAATATATGAATGATAGCTTAGGGCATTGTATGGCATGGTGATAATATATGAATGATAGCTTAGGGCATTGTATGGCATGGTGATAATATATGAATGATAGCTTAGGGCATTGTATGGCATGGTGATAATATATGAATGATAGCTTAGGGCATTGTATGGCATGGTGATAATATATGAATGATAGCTTAGGGCATTGTATGGCATGGTGATAATATATGAATGATAGCTTAGGGCATTGTATGGCATGGTGATAATATATGAATGATAGCTTATTTCTTATATTTCATCCCTTGTTTTCTCTCGGGTCTAATGTGGTAGCCATATTTGGTGTTGTGCAGGACTTTTTCTTTTATTTGGGCAAATATCTTGTGGAGGTTTGCTATTTAAATTGTAGTATTTCAATAAAAATTGCACATTAGGAGTGCAATATATTTTCTGCTAAACGTTTGAACAAAAAATTTATTGCAGTACAGCAGTATACCCTTGTAGGTTGGTTGCCATAACAGTAATTGAGTTTTTCGCTAAAAAATAAAATTTCTCCAGCAAGGAATATGAAAATACAATAATTCCCAGCAAATATTTGTGATTCAACATTAAATTGGGTTATAAATGAATGAAATTGTACTTCACCCCTTCTGAGCTGAATAAAATCATCTGGCATTAGCCAACTACAGGTATACTGTTAAAAGGGTATCCCATGGTGAAAGGGCTAAGTTGAGTTAACTTTTAGGAAACAAGGTTAGGTTCAGGCAAGTTGAAAACAAGCATGATCCCACCCACAATTTAAGCTTTTAAGCAAATTTACTGTATATGCTTTAAAAGGTTGGTAAATTTTCATATCCTGTGTGCAGTAAAACTATTTATACCCTTGGGTATATAATTTGGATTGCAGCATAAAAACATATTTTAGTATTTACCCTCACGCAAGCCTCCATTGTACTAGAATGTGTAGCAACTTGGCAAGGTGGTCATAATTTCCATTTTTGTTTCTCACTAAGAAAGGCATGTTCCTCTGCTTAGCATGGCTACTGTGTGCATCAAATTGCTTTCTCTGACCAAGAGGAAGATGCAAACTTGAACAATAGAATAGCATTTTTTATTTTTATGTACTTAATTTACCTTACAGCCACCTAAATCTTCTGTAGTGCTGGCCATGATGGACTGAGAAGTCTTGATGGCCTTTGTAGGATTCCCTCTTTATTCTTGATTGTGTGAAGATTATCAAGAAAGGCATACTGATACAATATTCAGAGACATGCTTATGTAGACCACACATAAATAGACATTTGGGTGCATTCTGCAACCTGTATTGTGTAACAGACATACAACGTGTCTACAAAAATTGCTTGAACATCTACAAAACCTTCATATTTATTTGAGTATAGAAAGTAATTAGTCAAATATGATCTACTGTATTGTTAAATGTTGCATAATTACAGGTGGTCATAGTAGTATTGTATGTGTGCTCTTGTTGTGTACAATACATGCTCCTCTGGTAATATAACACACTAAATCACAGTGTTGATAAACAAACAAGATTACAAGTCTAATATTAAAGTTATTTTAAACATATTACAGTGAGCTGTATGTGTGCTCTTGTTGTGTACAATACATGCTCCTCTGGTAATATAACACACTAAATCACAGTGTTGATAAACAAACAAGATTACAAGTCTAATATTAAAGTTATTTTAAACATATTACAGTGAGCTGCTCTGTAATAATAATAATAATAATAATAATAATAATAATCTAAGACCAGTCCTAATACACTGTAATAAATATGAGATTTAGCTGATTATTTATCTGTAGTAAGTTAGATATTATAATAAAAAATTATTAAATGCAAATTATTGTACAGTAAGAATGGCAGCTACGAAAAATGCAACGAGTTGTATGAAGTGCTAAATGCATATGATAATGCTCTTTACATAATTTAACTTGATTGTAAATCTTTTACGTTCATTGAATATTTCTCCCCAAACTGAATGCTGGGACTGCCCTAATCTATATAATCTGACAGGCTGATCCATGACTTCAGCACTATTATTGTCTCAGTGTGGTCAAGGTCAACTTGCTTCCAGTCACAAGTACTATCTATCATGAATCTGGGGATGTTGGCAAAACCATGTCGGTCTCTTTGATGATCCGAGTAACTAGTGTCCTGGAATAGTGGTCCCCAACTTTGTTTGCATGAGTCAGTCACATCAAATGTGTGATGAGAACTACACTTTGAAGTGGAAAAGGGAATAAACTTATCACTAACCCAGTTCACAAATTAATAAACAGTGACAAGTTGGGCTACCACTGACCATGTCTAGTTATTTGAGTACTGCTTTTTCTTTTTTGATAAATGAGGTCTTACCGGAGCCATAACCAATTTTTCTTTAACTTGCCTACT